CATTCAATCAGTCGAATGATCATTAGCAATATCGAAGAAAAAAGTTAATGCAAGGAATCTTGTTAGTCCTTTGGATGGGACTTTTTGAAAGATTTCGATACTTTGAAGATGCTGACGTTAATTCCTTTCATTTTCTTCAAATGCTGTGATAATCAATTTTATAATTTCTTTAATTTGAAACATTAATATTGTAACTTCATTCTTTTTTTTCATCAATAAAGTATGTTCCATAAATAGTTCTGTAAAAATCGAAATACACTATCATTACAAGGAAGAAATTCATTGTGAGGAATAGCATATGTTTGGTATTAGTTAATTCCGAAAAATTCAAAAGAAAGAAGAAATTTTGAATTTTCGGTAATTGATCGACCATCTTTTCACAATCCATTATATGAGAGAAAACGATCAAATCAAGTGGAAGATCAACGGATAAGACTCTCAATTGTTGAGCTATCTGAAATCACTGATCCTACCATATCTATCGAAACGTATATAAATCAATAACTTGTTTATCTCTATTCTTGGATATTACTGCTGTCATAATGACTAATACTTTTATGATTTTGTACGTACGCTACAGTATTCTTCTCATGGATGAACTGAAATAATCTTGAGATACAGTACTCATAGACTTTCACAGGAAAGTGTCACGTGTCTCATCGACAACTGTTGCATGATAACTTCTTACCTACAATTACATTAGGTAACGGAGCCGTGAAATGATTGTATCGTTATCGACTGATGACGAGTAATTTAATTCAGATTTCATTGTTTGTCCTTGATGAGTGGGTAATTTACCCATAATTTTAAGTAATGTATGTAGCAAGAAATTATTGCAGAAAAAATTTAGTAGGCGAATCAGAAGATATTATTGAATTACCTGTCATGTTCAGTTCTCACTGTGTTCAAAATTTTTTCAGATATGGTTAAATACGAAACTGTCAAATTAGCCACTGGTGCCGATTTACCGCTTTTTGGTTTAGGTACATGGCTAGTAAGTTTTCCCATTGTTCAGGGTGAAATTTGTTCAAAAATGAGGACTTGACCTAAGGTGGAAAACCAACCAAGAATTGAAGTGACAACGAAGATGTCATCAATTTTTTAAGCCATTATTTTTATAGCTGATGAATGATTTGCTCAATACTTATTCACTTATTCAATTCCTTTTGATTTAATTG